ATTACCTGCTACTCTCCATGAGCATACCTCAATTTGTGAAGTATTACCTATTTGAAGACAGAATGAGACAAATTCTTCTCTTTGATATTTTTCTTACACTCGTCAGATTCTTACACACACACATACACACATATACACACATATATATACACACATATATATATAATTTTAAAATAAATATATAAAGACAAAAGAACATGAGTGTTTGTTAAACCCTGTATCTGGCGAACAACCTCAGAAATCAAAGCCTACACCGCTGAAAGACATAATGTAATTTAAAAATCATTTAGGAATTTAAGATGCATTTACAACAACTACAAGGCCAGTGGAACTAAAAGGATTACATTTTTTATGCATTTGTGTGATGTCTGTCTGAAAATAGATAAGAATGGCCCTCCCCCATCTCATTTTCCCTGTAATAGAGAAATTCCAAGCAGGAACATTCAGAAAACAGTGTCGTTTTCTCCTTGGTGCTGCTTTGTGACACTTTTTTTTAATGGTCCCAGCCAAGTACTTCTCTTGATGTAACCAACTGAATACTACAACTCTCAGAGGGAAACAATAAACAGAAAAAGACACATCTGTGTGTGCCGAGAGGTACTGGAGATTTCATACTACATCCTGGATAAATTTTTAAGAAGGGGTACAAAGGATGGCAGAAAAACTTAAAAAAAAATATAGTAGGAGATTTAAAACACACTTAACGGCTGAGCATAGCACAATTGCTATGGCTGAGAGCTGAGTCACTGTGGATCAAGCCCATGTGATCTGGAATATGGGAAAAAAGAACCGAGAACTAAAGAAGACAAGAGGACAGGGATTGATGACTGCCGGCAGGGATCAAAAATCTCAATCAAAAACTGTTTGGCATTTCTGTGCAAGATATCAACTATCCATCCATTCATTTCTCCACTCATTCATCCATTTGACAAACGTACATGAGGCAGTTGCTATCTTCCAGGCACAGTGTTAGGCTGTAGGGGAGAACTTAATGAGTAACACAGAAGTATCCTGCTGTCATGTGGTTTTAGTTCTAATAGGAGAAGAAACATCATAAACAAGCAAACAAGTGAAGAAACAGAATATTGTCAGATAGTGATAAATGCTTTAAAGTAAATAAAACAAGGTAAAGTGTTCAGGGAGACTCTGGAAACTCCCTTTAGATCACACGATCAGGGTCAACCTGTGTGGGATAGTAGAGCCCTGAATGTTGAGAAGGAGAATGAGCCACAGGAAGGTAAATGAAAGGGGAAATGATCCTAGGTACAGAAAAACGGGCACAGAGGTGCTGAGTGGGGACTGTGCTAGCAATTAGTGACACTGAGCATCACTTGGATGATAAAGAAATAGGATACATGAAGAGAAAGGGTTTATAAAGACTTGCGTATGTAAAGAAGAGACTCCAAAATGCTTACCAGATCCATACTCAAACTGACTCTGTTGGTGTTTTAATAAAAGAAAAATCTTATATGTATTTTTTAGTTTGTGTGAGTTGCGAGATGATCACTACAAAGGCAAACAATACTAGACTTATACTTTGCCTCAACATTAACTGCTAAAAAGCTTATCCCGCACAGTTCTAGAATTTTGGAGTAGGAAATTTGAGGTCTAAGAATTATAGTTAGTCAAATTGTTTTACATTATCATCAGATATATAAGTGCTTTGAAAAAACATCAACCTAGTATCTTTTTGGAAGATAACGTTACCTGGTACGATGATCACTAATTGACAAAAGAAATAAATTCCATTTCTGAGTACTGGGAAGTATTAGGTATTATATAAAAATATATATAATTGGTTAAACGGAAGGTTATCAACAGGCCTAACTCCTAGAATTTTTCCTTGAGTGAATTAAAGATCATCTCAGCAAAACATATCCTATTGTACTGGCCACAGTAAAATCTCTGCTAAACAAATTCTGTTCACGATTGTATTAGAAGTTTAAAAGTAAGCGGTTTCAGCATAATTTTTTTTCTTGTTCTATGAACATTATTGTAACAACGCCATAGAAATTATCAGGAACGGTCTTTCTTTTAGGCAATATATGCATTAAATTATGATCTCTGATGCAAAAATATCACAAGAGTGTGTTCTAGTTACTATGACTATGTGACAAACCACTTAAAATGTAGTGGCTTAAAGCAAAATCAACATTTATTTATTTTTCTCAAAAATCTGCCACCGGGGAGGGTCTACATGATGACACCACTTCTCTGCTTCTGCTGGAGGAAGCAGAGCTGGCTCCAGGCTGGGCACTGCAGTGGTTTTAAGGCTTGCAGACTCACAGAACTGGTGTTACTACCAGGAACACCCTGGGCTCCTCAACTTCTCCACCTCTGTGTGGCGCCCCCCATCCAGCAGCAGCAGAATGAACGCTCATTATGTGAGACTTCCGGGCTCCCTTTGTGCATAGCCCAAGGGAGACGTTATGGTTTGAATGCTGGTATCCTTCCAAATTCATACATTGAAACCCTACCCCACCAATGTTATGGTATTAGGTGGGGCCATTGAAAGCTAATTAGGATGAGATGAGGTTATGAGGATACAGCCCTCATGGAAAGGATTAGTGGCCTTAGAAGAGTCACAACAGAGCTCGTTACCTCTGTAGCTCTCTCCCTACCATGTGGAAACACAGCCAGAAGGCGGCCAACTGCAAGTCAGGAAGAGAGCTCTCATCAGAACCCAACTATGCTGGCTCCTGGTCTCAGACTTCTAGCTTCCAGACTGTGAATGCTGGCTCCTGGTCTCAGACTTCTAGCTTCCAGACTGTGAAGAATAAACGTTGGCTGTTTCTAAGCCACCAAGTTAGGATAATTTATTATAGCAACCCCAGCGGACCAAGATGTCAGAGAGGAAGCAGGAGGAAACCTGCGTGACCTACTCTTGGAGGAAGTCAGGCAGGATCCTTTGCACCCTCTTTCACAGAATGCTCCAGAGCGTCAGGAAACGTTCTGGGAAGGGTGTGAAATTCTATCTGATCAGAGCCCTGTCAAAGGCCTTACAGAAGAATTTTAGTATCTTTGGTGCTTGGAGAAAAATGTGAAAAGTAAAATACCCAAAGGCAACGCTGACACGTATTTCTTTTGTCATTTTACTTTTTTCAATTTTCTTAACCATCGTTCTTTTTCCAACAAAAAAAAAAGAATGAAAATTAAAAATGAGACAGCTATGTAAGCCTTTCCCTAATGCCTGCTGATAATGATTCCCCTACACCCCTCCCCAGTCTTTCTCTTCATGTATCCTATTTCTTTATCATCCAAATCCATATATTTCTTAATAATAATATACAATCTACAGGCAGTTTGACATAAGCTGATATCAAGCCATGAGGAGGTAAAACACGTAATGGAAACATGCATGTTCCCATCTGTCATTCACCAGGTGCATGAACTTGGGAAGTCTATTTAACTCCTTTGAGACTCCTTATTCATAAGAGGAAAGTCAAACTGCCTAACTCACTGAAATATTTTGAGGATTAATCAGATAATTTATATACAATTGCTAGAGAATGCATACATACGAAAAGCAGGTACCCAATAAATATTGCCTGGATTTAAAGATTTACCATGCTTCACATAGGCCAAAATGACTTCTGTATTTTTCTAGGTGATGGATCACTAATGTAGACTCAGCAGAGGAACAAATTTGAAATTACCACAATTATCTGTTCTTTGCGTTCATAGAAAACACACAACATTAAACATCAAGGCACAACACTAAAAATACGGCAACATTTTAGCCATTATAACTCTGCACTGGAATTTCCTATTTTAGAGCAAAATAGTATACTTCCATTTGCCTGGATAACGTTCATCTCCTAATTACCAATTTCAAAAGGTGATAATTAATATGTAGCTTGCAACAAGCTTGATGCGAGAAAAAGCACCAATCAATTAGTCAACATGGTGCTCCAGGTACTAAATGCCAGGAGCCATGCTACGTAGGGTGTGCAAAGCCCTTTGTATTCCAGCAGAACCAGACTCATTCTCACTAATGACAAGGAAGCCCATTGTGAGTTAGCAAATTTCACAAATTAGCAAGTAAGAAAAAAACATAATTAAAAGAATTAGGGACACTGAATCATGGTATGTGCAGTGTTCATTTATTTTGACAAGTATAATTTAATTTTACTTATTTATGGTAATATTTCATAGTATACTAATGAATGCACTCTTGTCTCTTTTGTAAATGTAATGAAATATTAGTAATATGAGACCTCAGTGCTGTTCTCTGTTATTAAATTGCTCCTGACAGGTGAGGTAGGACCACCACAGTTGGGTTTGCACTGGAATGGTAATTGCACTGGTGGCATAGTGGTGTGAAAGTGAGTGCGTATTCACTGAGGGACTAACATGAAGGCGTGCAAAGTTCATTGCTAAGTGAATACACAAAATTTAAAGAGACATATTAGGTGAAATGTTTATAGTAGTCTTCTGGTACACTCTAAAGCTACTTCTTCTTTGGGAAATTGGAACCACCATTTTTTAAAAAGGCATTTTTATATGCTGAGAAGCACTACTTCTTCAAGTCTTATTTCTATCAAAGAATCCCTCTTTCTCCAAGACAAGCAGGCAGAAAAACTTAGAAATAGTCTTTTCTGTTTCATTTTCTCCCCTATACATTCACTGACAATTCCTCATCATTCTTTTTCTTTTTCTTTCTTTCTTTTTTTTTAAGACAAGGTCTCACTCTGTCACCCAGGCTAGAGTGCAGTGGTGTGATCATGACTCACTGAAGTCTCGACCTCCTGGGCCCAGGTAGTCCTTCCATCTTAGCCTCCAGAGTAGCTGGGACTACAGGCATATGCCACCACGTTTAATGTTTTTGCATTTTTCGTAGAAAAGGGGTTTTACCATGTTGCCCAGACTGGTCTCAAACTCCTGGACTCAAGAGATCTGCTCACTTTGGCCTCCAAAATTGCTGGGATTATAGGACTGCGCCACTGCACCTGCGCCCTCCCCCCCACCTTTTTTTGTTTGTTTTTAGCTTTATTGGTGTATCACTGAGAAATTGAAATTTTATTTAACATATACAATGTGTTGTTTTGATCTATGTATACATTTTGAAATATCCCCCAAACCCAGCTAATTAACACATCTATTGCCTCACCTAGTAACCAGTCGATAGGACTGTATGCTAGTAGGACAGACACTTTCTATGGTATCTGAAAATCACATATCCACTCTCTCCCCATGTTAACTTTTGGGCCATAACTTGTTTCTGGATCACTCATATCTCTCTACATGCTTGCTCCAAGTCTACCTTCCTAGATTTCTTCTTATTTGCTTTAAATTTTATTATTGACCAGTATTATATAGTTACATCTTGCTACTGTTATTCCCACTGCATGTAGACTTGGTTTTTAACTGCTGTGGAATGTTTCTGACTTACCTTCATCCCAGCCCTGACATTCCTCTTGAGCTCCGGGCACTGGTGGGTGGTTAACTAGCCCACTCCTCCTGAGTGTCTCATTGGTGCCTCAAACTGAAATTGACTCACACTGAAATCATGATGTCACCTCTAAACAGTGTCTTTTTTCCTGTATTCCTTGGTTTAACAACCAGCATCATTTCCATGCAAGGTAGCCAAAGCAGACTCCAACTCTCCTTACTCCAGCGACCTGCTCAGCCCCATTTACATGCTTCTTCCATAACTTGAGAGCCTATCATCACTGTTTAGCCCAGTCTTTCAGTGCCTCTTTTCTTTTTCTTTAGAGTCCTCTCAGCTTATTTGATTCTTTCCTCCCATTGAGTCCATCCTTTCACACAGCCATTGAGGGGCACTAGCTCAGTCTCAAGGTTCCTCTCGAAGCTTCTCAGTTGAAATCTTCAACAGCTCCTCAAGTCCTTGAGTAAAAGCCCAAGTTTTTGCTGCAGAATGGGAAGTCCTTCACGATCTTCTAAATTCTGTTTTCCTCCTACTTCAATTCCCACTGTTCATCCAGCAGGTCCTTACACTGCTCAAATGCCACCTTCCCTGAATTCAACAAGTCCTTCTCCCAATTCTCATGATGCTGTCCTATAATCTTCTACTACTTGTCTTTCTCTCCCAGTGGATTGTGTGTTTCAAGAGCAAGAATCTTGCCTTATGGATCATTTTAGACCTGGTATTTTTTTCCTGTGTCTAGCACATAGCAGACACTCAGTATTGGTTGTGTGAGTAAGCAAATAAATTGATTATATTTTTTCATACTTTCCTGATGTAACACCAAGCTAAAATAAATTGCTGTCTTTTATCACATATGATCTAATTTTTAATCTCACGTTTGGACAATATATTTGGCTCTGTGTCGAGCCTCCTGGCATCTTCAACCAGGCAGCATGTGGCAAAACAGAGACAAAATAATACAACAGAAGAGCAAGAAGTAAAATCCCAGCCAGGGCCGGAGTCGCCTCCTCATTCACTGCCTCCTGGATTCACTATCCCACCGTTTAACACTTGAACTTTCAGCTGCTGAGCTTTGGAACGAGGGTGCTTAATTAGTCAACAAGACATGACAACATTCTGTTACAGTGAGATTACATACACCTATGGGTGTTAGGAGACACGTAGTAAAACCCAGCAACTTCACAGACCTGAAAAGAGTGTTATCTTCCAGCAGCACAAGGGAGAACGCTCCAAGAGATAAAACACACAAGACGAATGGTGTCTGTAATTGAAAAGCAATGGAAGAATGGAGCCCATAGAATTCCAAATACATTTTCCCTCCCAGTGTCCCTAGATGAGTATGGTGAGCTGGATTAACAAAGAGTTATGAATATCTTTAAATAGAGAAAATAATGTACATCTCTAAAGGGACTGACTCCGGGGACCATAAAAATCTGTGCAGATATCACATCACTGTATTATAATTTCTATTCCATTTATAATTCATTATTTATTCCACAGTATTAATGCAAGATGCATATGTCTTTATTTGTTAAAGGAGGAGAAGGATGTTTAGGAACCGCTGGGAATTCCTTTCCACATAATGATGCTTCTACTTATGGTAGGACTCAGAGTAGAACAGAAAATCGACGCTCCACAGATTCAGGAACAGGTTCCCATGGCCTTAGGAGTGCAGAGCTGATCTCTGTCTAACCCAGTTGACCCAGATTGGTTCTGTCTTTCTTACACTTTGCCACCTCCACATCAGTGACTTCTTCTGGGGGATCTATGTGGGCGCCTCTCTTTTGGCTGACTATGCCAGTTTGACCATAATAGCACAAAGCACACTCTACAAGGCATTCTCCTGCCCCAGTCCTGGAGGCAAGCAGAGCAAAGCACCTTTGAATGTTAGTTTCCTTCCCAGCATTGATTGAATAAACATTAAGGTCAGCTGCGTCCAGGCTCTGGAGAGAGAATAGAGAAGACGTTCCAGTGAGAGAGCTGACAATAACCCTGTCAGCAAATAGGCGTATGACATAAGCATCAATGCAAAGAAAGCCTAATCCAATAAGGCCTATGGATATTGAGAGTCAGATGATCAGAGCAGTTCTGAGAAAGCGATGTTAAAGCAATGATACAATAAAGTAGCTACGGAAAAAGCTATGTGACACCAGCCCACCGAACATTTCTCCACTCTCCACACCCAGCACCTTATACCTCCTCTCCTTCTCTTCCGGGGTCTCCACTTTGCCAGGACAAGTCCAAGGCCCTAACAGACCTCAGCCTCAATCTCTCTCTCACTCTCCCTCTCTCTACTCTCAGGAGACTCGCTGTGGAAAACACTAACACGATGATGACAAATAAATTTGTATGGCCCAGCCGGGCGCTGTTGGCTCATGCCTGTAATCCCAGCATTTTGGGAGGCCGAGGCGGGCAGATCACCTGAGATCGAGAGTTCAAGATCAGCCTCACCAACATGGAGAAACCTAGTCTCTACCAAAAATACAAAATTAGCCAGGCATGGTGGCTCATGCTTTAATCCCAGAAACGGGAGGCTGAGGCAGGAGAATCTCTTGAACCCAGGCGGCGGAGGTTGCGGTGAGCCAAGATTGCACCATTGCACTCCAGCCTGGGCAACAAAAGCGAAACTTCATTTCAAATAAATAAATAAATAAATAAATAAATAAATAAATAAATATAATTGATATGGCCAAAGCCTTGGCATTCCGAAGGGGTGATTTAAAATTTTTAAATCTCTTCTCTCTTTACAGAGTTTGACTTGCAAAAATAAGTCTGACAAAGGAGATCAAGAAAATCCACCTTTAAAATGTAGAATTCATCAAGTCACTTTGTTCTCAGATGAGAATCGGCTCCCTCCTGCTGCGGGCAACACCCTCTGCGGCTCATTCTTGGGAGGAACAGGCTAGAAAGGAACATAATTTCAGGGGCAAATAAGAACATATCAATTTACTATCCGTCTAAGTATCTTCTATTATTCTGTATGTCTCTAGGCAACGACTCAGCCAGGCACAAAGACTGTCATCTTTGTCCTTAAAAGATGCCTCCACTTCTCCTGTAGGAAGGGGAAAGAGACAGGCAGCCAAGGGGTCAGGTTCAATATTGTCTTTAATCATATGGCTCCATGAGCAAATTCTTACCTACTGGTGTCTCCCACAGTGAGGTTGCTGCGTTCCACAGGTGGTGAAGGCTGGGATGACTCCCCTTCCTCCTGATGAATGAACTTTTGCAGGGAATCAGAAAAGGCTTCTTTCAGACACTCATTCCTAGTTTATAATAGGGAAATCCATTTGCCTCAGAGCTCAGGGAGGTGGAGGTAGAGAGGTGGTTCATTGCAAATCTAAACAACTTTCACACTCTGTAAACAAGCAGGGACTGGTTACTTGGCCATTTGAGATGTCCTTGGGAATGGACTTTAATTTAGGCAGTCAAGGTAAACCCCAGCCTCCCTGATGACTGTTGAGAGGTCTACTATCAGACTAATTTGTTTTTCTTTATTGGGAGTCTGTTTCTTCTCAGCGCGCGCATGCGCGCGCGTGTCTGTGTGTGTGTTTAATCATGTCTTGTATTGGGTAGCATGCAGTTTCACTGCAATGAGTTTAGGTATGTACTCAATAGGACTTATTTTTCTTAGGACTTACTGAAATTCCTGATTCTCCAGACTCCATTCTTTCATAAGTTGTGGGAAAAATATTCATTATTTCTATGAATATTGCCTCTCTTCCACTTTTGTCTGTTTTCTTTCTTTGGTCCTCTAATTAGAGGTAGGTTTCTAACAGGTAACCTATGAGGTTTCTAACAGGTAAAGAGAGATAAAATCTCTGTATCTCTTTTTGTTCGATGTGGGATAAATGATTCTAATCTATTCTACTACCCATTAATTCTTTTTTTCATGGGCATCATATGTGCTGTTCCTCATTTGAATTATCCCAGTTTCAATGATCACATTTTTAACATGTTCCATTTATTTTTTTCTAAAATCTATCTTGTATTTTTGAAGCATCCTCTGTCTTTTCTGATAACTATATTTCCTTTTTGAAATGTCTTTAAGCATTTTAAGCATATTGCTCCACATGAATTTGGGGCGTGGGGATGCTGGAGAGTTCATTTTTCAGGAGTGGTTTGCGTGTATTTCCACCAGGTGCACTGGGGTTCACAGCTTTGACAATCTCAGTTCCAACCCTGATCCTTTATGAGTTAGGTCCATGGTTACAAACATTCAGGGAAGTTCCCGCAGCCTGTATTTTACTCAAACCTCACTGACATCCACGTAGACACAGCCTGAAATTCATTCCAGCCCCCTGAGCTAGCAAGTAGATTTTTCTCTTACATACTTTTCAGTGAGGGTGTGACCCAGCCAGGGCCAGGCTTAGTTGGGTGGAGCAGAAGATACGAGTAAGTTTTGCTTTCTGACCCAAGGATTCAAGGACCCAACTTCTGTCTCCTGTGGTGAGTCCCCCCAATCCCCTGATGCACAAATTAGAAAAGCATCCCTGTCCTCTGCATTCCTGTGTCCTCCCAGTATCTCTCAACACTTTGTTCTTCACTCTGGCTGCTGCAGAGTCCCTCTCCTGAACTCAGCCAAGCAATCAAATAATGCTTGTAGTCGTGCACACAGAATTTCCAGGAGGTGTCAGAGGCAGCACCTTCAGGATACCTGCTACCACACTGTCGAAGTTGAAATAAAAGGAAATTGTTATAATTATTTTCTGTAGGGATCTCTGCAAAATTTCTAGTGATACAAACACATTAATAGCATGTAATTCTCAAACTAAATAAAACAACCACTTTCTCAATGGATTATAATATTTTCCTTTATGTGTAATTATACTTTTATAAAACATTCACTCTGACATGGAAAAAGCAACTTTCCATTTATACGAAAACCAACATAGGATGGTTATTTTATTTCATGATTTAATGGATTAATCTAATTGATTTCATTTGATTCTGGCATGTTGCCTTGAGGTAGGTTTCACTTTGATTTGCTTTGTAAGGGAAAAAAACTGAAAGTCAAAACAAAATGAAAAGGGAAGTTTTTATTTTCAAAATCAAATGAAAAGTCAAATAAAAATGAGCAATTCTTTCAACATTCTAATGTTTGCATATGGCAAAGGTAAGGTCTGAACCGAGGTCTGCCTAAATTCAAAGTCAGTTCTTCTTTCGCCAGTGAGATTTCTGTTGACGTCCTTCAGGAATCCCCTGGCACTCCAGGAATCCTGCCCAGACCTCGTCAGGCACCATCACTAGAGATGAGAATGGAATCACTTTCCAAAAAGCTTTCCAGGCAATCCTTTCCCACTAAGGTTTGATAAACGTTGCATGCTATCATGCTGCTTTTATATGTGTGACTTAAATCAGCTCTTTTTACTAGAGATTTTGTGTGAGGGTGGTCAAATCCCCTGGAGAATATCAACTATGACTACAACGCATTATTTTGTTCAAGATGCAGAAAACAAATATAAGAGCCATAGTATGTGGACGACACGGGAGGTCAGAGTGAGGCTGGTCTATCGATGGATGGAGGTTGATGGGGCACCAAGGAATTCATGGGGGGAGGAGGCTTCTTTTTGATTCATCTCTGCCAAGATTTTGTTTCCATGCTTGCCATTTTCTCATGCCTTTGAATTTTTACCTAATCTGGTAGTCTGGAGTACTTCAGATGTGAGCCAAGAAAGGATGGTGGGGGTAAGTGACCAGAGAGTGAGACAGAGGTGACACATGTCTGAGGAAAGAGGACGGAGGAAAGAGAGAGACCAGAGGAGGGAGGCAGGGTATCCACAAGATGACTGTAGTCCGGAGAGTCACAGGGTGAATCGCTACTATGAAAAATTACTTGCTCTGTCTGAATCTTCATCTCCTCACTTGTGGAATGGGGAGAAAAACCACTGCCTTGAATAAGAAAATGAATGGAACGTGCTTTGAGGAGAATGGGGCAATGATGCTGATTGTGTCCTTGTAGCAAGTGGGAGCACAGCGTGGTAGTGATGACGGCAAGCATGCCGTTCCCCCTAGCTCAGACCAGCCAGGGGAAAGAGAGGCCGCAGGAGGTTTTAGCCCAGGCCTTGCGATATTAGTCACACAGAGACTCCCCAGAACCATCTCCATGTTCAGCACTGCCCACCCGCCTCATTCTACCCTGAGCCTGCACTAAGCTACACATGAGAAAAGGTCAGACATTCCAAGTTCAAGGCAAGTGAGAGGACTTGTGATAAGCCCCTTATTTGCACTCACAAGACCAAACTGCCTAGAGCATGAGGCATATCACCTACAGCATACAGCGCACAGCACTACAAGAGGCCTTGAAAATGCACTTTGCCAAGCCTGGGAGAGGAAAGGCATTCCTAGTGGAGGGACATGTGCAGAGTTGAAAGGCCTGAAGGCAGCCTCTTCGGGATGGGCCATGAGTGTTGAAGACAGGGGAGTAGCGACTAAGAGTCTGCACAGGTGCAACCCCCACAGGTTCACTAAGCGTCTGCACAGGTTGACAGCACATTTGCAAAGCCTCGAGTGCTGTGCTGAGAAGCCTATTCTATATGTGCTGGAAAATAAGAGCTTTATATATGAAAAACAAGTCTAGGAGTAGAGTGGAAGATAGACTGGAGAGTAAGGGGGGACCTGGATATTAGAAACCCATTAGGTGCATTAGAAATCACATTGACAGGAATTTATGAGTACCTAAACTTGGGCACTGGCAGTGCATGAGAGGAAAGGGGGATTCCAGAAATGTTTCAGCAGCAGCAGAAGCAGATTCAGATTCAGTAAACAAATTAAGAGAATTTAGGGTCTGTGTTTGTGTGTGTGTGTTTGTGTGTTGTGTGTGTGTTTGTGTGTGTGTGTGTAGGGACTGGATTGCTAGTTTGGGCTAATTATGAGAATGCCATAGATTACCCACAGGTAATTTGGAGAAGAAGCAGGTTGTGAAGGACAGGTTAGAAGTAGAGTAAGCCAGGCCACTTACTTTATTTGGATGTTTGGAGGTTGTGGTGCCTGCAGAATGGGACAGAGCTGACCAGCAGGCTTTGAAACTGTCCAGGATTCAACAGAGAGGGATGAGCTGCCTATCAATGTTTTACAAACACCAGTAGAAAATTGGAAATTCAAGTCTTAGGTGTTGCGATGGTTCAGTTGTTGTGACTGGGCTTAGATACCTGGTAAAACTTGCCTACTGAGCATACCTGTGAAGGTCCTCCTGGAAGAGTCTGGCATTTGATTCAGTACGCTGAGCAAAGAAGATCACCCTCACCAATGTGGGCGGACACCAGGCAATCTGTTAAGGGCTTGAATAGAACAAAAAGGCAGAGGATGGGTGAATTTCCTTTCTGCTCGACCTGAGACACCCGTCTTCATCTGTCCTTGCACATCAGTGGTCCTGGTTCTCAGGCCTCTGGGCTTGGACTGGAACAACACCAGCAGCTTTACTGGGCCTCTAGCTCTCAGGTGGCAGATTGTGGGACTTCTCTGTGCCCACCATTATTTTAGCCAATCCCTCATCATAAATCTCTTTCTGTCTATTTCTATATATGCTATTGGTCCTGGTTCTCTGGAAAACTCTAATACAGGTGTCAATGAGATATCCGGGAAAAGGGAGAGCCTTAGGGGAAGTAAGGCAATTGGAGGAATTGTGAAACATGGCCAGTCTTAAGAAGCGGACTACCAGCGAGCATGATCAGAAAGCTACTCTAAGAAGAAATGCCCACAGAGGAAAGAGGAAAGGCAGAAGACATAGAGGGGATAAGTGTCTGGGTGTGTTGTGCTCACCCTTCTAACCACTGCTCAGCCCTGGGAATGGAGAAGGGATGGGGAAGAGCTTGGCATATTCCAGCTCTGACCTAATGCCTAGGCCAGTCCTGTGTTATGAGGCCCAACCTGATGCAAACCAGAGAAAGGGCTACAAATCAGCAAGACTGAGCGCTTTTCCTACAGAGACAATTCTGCTGGGACCCTGCGAAATGGGTTGTGCGTGTGTGCACTGGGAGATGCACAGTGTGCACGTGTGTACACACGTTTGTTTAGTTTGTGAAATTGAATCCCTGATTTCAAACCTTGTTTTATCATGGAATTGAACAGATATCTGCCCAGAGATAAACAGGCCCTGCCTGGATGTTTGATGGTTTCGTCTCTACCTGTTTAATCACCTCTGTTTCAAGGAACGGTATGCGCCAGTTGAAAAGTCAGATCTTTCTTCACAGATCTTTGTTTGTTTGTTTGTTTTTTCCAGCCACCAGGTTAGTTTACACTCTTGGAGAGGGTAGATACATTTTGTTATCTGAAAAAGAGAGAGAATGATCAGCTCGCAGTCTCCAAAATAGTTAACAAATGACCATAACTGTACACAATTTATTTGAAATGCTAAAAATCATCAGGCTTTTTCAATGAACATCTTGTTTTAATGAATACCTTCAACTGAATCATATTTTGGCTTTTAAGAATAGATTTTCAAAGTGTGGAATTACGTGTGTCTCTGCTTTTCTTTAGGCAGTGGTGATAAATCTGTGCCTGGGAATCTTTCATCTGAATAATTAAAATGATATAATAAAAATGACCTTTCAGCCCTATAGACCCAGTGAGCTTTGGGTTGATAATGGAATAATCAAATAATCAGAGAACAAGGCCATCCACAGAGCTCCTGAGGAAGCGAGACCACTGCACGGTGAAAGATGATGTCAGGGATGATGTCAGGAGACAGAGGCAGAGGGAATCACAGCCCCCAGCACCAAGTGCAAGGCAGGACCAGAGATCATGTGTGTGACAAGGAGGCAAGCATGGTGGGTGGGGGAGGCATAGGGAAGTGGATGCAGAGAGAAGACCAGGCTTGGAGGAGCAGGTGTCTGATGGGGGAATACCTCGGGGGGCAGTTTCTTGGAGGGGGAGAACCACTTCACACTGTTTGTTCCATTTAGAGCATCTCAGGGCATGGAGTCATTTTTCAAGAGAAGTAGCTTTGTACGTCTGCACATATTGTTAACGACCTTAGCTTCCCTATTCATAACATAGGCCACTTCTTCAACGGGGCACAAGGGTACAAAGGGATGGGTCGCTGGGAATCAGCCACTATAGTTTGGATAGTTTGAGCCACAACAGGCACCAGAGGAACCTGGGCCAGGCTGGTTTCACTGTAGCCTCCTTTAGTTTTGGAGACAGCAGACACGGGTGGGAGAGGGAAACAGCCCATTCAGTCCTCTCCATGAAGGCACAGCAGCATCTGCGAAGAGGGCAGGGGACAGGACCTCAAGCAAGGCCCCAACACAGTACTGGCAGTAACATGATTTCCAGAGTGGCAGAAGACAGGGCATGGGCTCATGCTTGCTGCAGACCCATGCGAATGGGACCAACGGGCAGAATGGAATAAGCACTGAACCACCTAAAATAACAACCACTGCAGTAACACCAAACAGAACTGGGTTGTTCGGAAAATGACAGAAGCCCATGTCACCACCCTTAATTGTTTGTTACGTGCTGCTGCAGAAAATAAAATTATTTTGGTAGAGGGAAATATTGTGTGTTCCAGCTTTCAGGCACAGATGCAGTTTGGGTGAGAAAATAGAGATTAGGTCAATAAAGGGGCCTCTGGTCTTCATGCCTTGTGTCCAGGGCTGGCCGTGTGCCTGATATTCTTAGAATGAATGCTATGTATGACCTTCTTCCTTTGGTAAATGAAATTGCTCGGCTCACACACTTTTTAATGCGATTTTTATAGAATCTTTCAGAGCAAGGGAGAAAGAGAAAGAGCGAGTGAGTCTGTGGCTGCCTTTCTTGAAAAATCACTGTGGGCCACAGCGGAACTCTGAAAGTGACAGTGTGAAGTCATTCTTGTGCTCGCCGTTTTGGATGGCAGATGGGAAGCAGGTGCGTTTCTGCAGGATGAGCTGAAGAAGAGGGGCTTAATTAAAGAACACGCTCACGGCATCCAAAAGATCTTGAATTGCCACCGTGTGGGCCTGCCTTTCCCCTTCCCCAGAATCTTTTTAACTCTTTTCATGGTGGGTCATTGTCCTCCCTGCAGCCCAAAGCAATGAGGCCGAGGCTATTATTTTCCTTGTGGACAAATGGCTCGCAGAGCTGGCTGCCGGGCCAATGCAGCCTTCTGTGGCCACTGTGCAATTGAAATGGCTCTCAGGGAAGGGGCCTCAGCTGCTGCCTGTCTGTAATTGTTGCTGGGACCCGGCCTTCTGGTCAGCTCTGGTCCCTGCCGCTGCTGTCTACACCGACTGTTTTTCCTCCCGGCTTCCAGAGACGAGGCTTCCTTTTGCTCCTCACAGTATTGCTCTTTCACATCCCCTGCAAATGTGGGAGTTGGCCTCTTCTGCTGTGCGAAGTCTCTGGGGGCCTCTGTCGCTCTGCTCACTACTGTCCGACGGTGAACTTCTTGCCATTCCTCTCCAGCCTGCCTGTGCGGGTGGCCTCATGAGCTCTGATTCAAAAGATGACAAGGAGGCATTGGAAGGAGCCCTGGAGGCCCTGGGGCCTGCTGTCTGGTTGTAGGGACAGGAACATGTGAGGTCAGGAGAGAAGAGACTGCAGGATAAATCTGTGACACATCCAGGCAGACGCCAAATAATGCTGATTCCCAGTGCCTGAAATGGAGGAAGGTTTTCACAGTTTCCAGGAGAGGGGCCTGGTGGTGAGGAAGACTGGGCCCTCCGCAATCCTGACTGGGAATCCAAGGGACTGGGAGCCACCCCGAGGGAGAAAGTGCTGCAGTCAGACCTGCTGCTGGAGCCTGGGTCTGGGCCACATTGCATCCAAGAACAGGATGACTCCTGCCTGGCTGGCCTCTAGACCACGTGAAATAGAAATAGGAGAAGCGCCGCTGCATCCCGTGAGCAGTGTTTCTGGAGGGCGCTGGTAGGGAGGGAGTGGAGGTGCCAGCTCACACTTCCCTCCAGGACCTGAACATCGCAGAAGCCCCTACCGATGGAGCTTCCGTATTTCACTGCCTAATTTTGGATTATTTATGACAGCAAAACAAAAATTATTTATGAAGCAACTGTTTACAACTGAGACCCAGGGAAGTGACATAATCTAAGATTGTGTAACTAATTAGTGGCACAGCTAAGACCCTGTTATATCATCTCCTTATTTTAAATCAATTGCAAAGCTTCGTAAACACTTCAAATAAGCACATATCTGGCATTTTATGACCTTTTTATGCTTAATTCAAAAGAATGTACTTGCTTTAAATAAATATTAAGCACATGAAATACATTGATATATACACAAAAGACTGTGTATAATTCTTACGTATTAAGCTCCTATTGTGTGCTATGTGTTTTTTTTATTTTCCTGCATAAACAGCATTCTCTACTACAACCCAGCAAGGTAGGCATTATCGCCCCTGTTCTGCAGCTAAAGAAGCCCTCACTAACAAGGATGAAATAGCAGAAAATCTGGGAAAAGATCACCCACAAAGCAAATAAAGAAATGGGAAGGAACACCCAGATCTGCCTGGCTTCAAAGCCAGTGGTAGTAACTTCCCTAGTGTGAACGAGCTCATCCAGGGTTAGGGTTTATTTACGAACAAAAGAGAAATCCCTCCGAATCATTCCTATGGATTTTTCTTTCTCAATCTAAGGAGTGACAGGAAAAACTGTAAAGAATGGGACATGGACAAGCAGAATTGGCAAGTGTTCTTGAGTCAAGACCCCTCATGAAAAGGGTAAACCATTCACTCTGCCCAAATGTGATTCCTGTAGCCGGGTCTCAATCAGCACGTTTTCCACTGAAACGACGAGGAGGGGAGGGGCTCTTCCTGGGGTAGCTGTACACAGCCGTGGTGGCCAGCCTAATTCAAGGTGCACAGCATGGACACACACACTCTCACCCTGGCGACTCCCAAGCTGTTAGTTCAACCGTCCATTGAGTTTGACATCATAGATGGGGGTTGCAGGGTGCGCAAGGGAATAATCTGATTTGCAGAGAGGAAAAATTGTTTGTTTTGTGTATACTTCCTGTCTTTATTTTCACTATTCTTTTTCACTCAGCACTTCAATTTTCCACATATAAACAGAGTCTGTGGAAAGCGTTTATTATCTAACACTGTACTCTCTGAAATTCCCTCTATTATTCTATGGGGCCATGTTGATCAGGACCACCCCTGAATGTAAATGATGCCGTCAGAGGCCTTGCAGTCCTGGGGCCAGGGCTGCATTTTATATGTGCACATAAACACACAGGACGTCCTGCCTACAAACCATTTTGTCCCCAGGACTAAATATTTAAGTGTCCCCATGGTAATGATTACAGATAAGACTTTTACATTGTTGTGATTACAAAAGGGAGTATACATTTGCATCTGTTAATAATCACCAGTCTCATAAACAGCAATAACAACTTTGAATTTTTCTTACTTATTCATTTAACCTGTACTGAATGTCCGTTGTGTGCTTGTACTCACTGGATTTTTTACCATATTATTCTACCCTTACACATACATGTGTGATGTGTGATGTGTGATGTTCATTCTCCTTTGAGGATTTTGGCACTAAAAGCTTTCCTCTATTGGGAAAAATGTGAAAATATGCCTTTCCATCCAGAGTCAACCCATTTGGAAATAGGAGCAAAGCTTCCACAGACTCCATTTTTTCTTTCTATCAAATATCCTTTGTGAGATAAAGCTCCAAGGATGGAAATTAGCCGCTTCTGTCCTGAGAATCTTCCCAACCCTATTCTTTCAAAGGGATTGTCCATAAGGCTCTGGGACCACCACAATGCGGACACGCACGGCTGGCTGACGGCCTTGCTTCAATAGAAAGCCTTTTAAAACATGCTCCCATGGTCCTGAAAAGGACTCTCTTCTTGGGGGCTTGGGCCCGGGGAAAGGCAGCCAGGGCTCCGGAACTGCTCAGCGCAGCTCAGGAACTGTTCTCCTCCAGATCTGAGAAGACTCCAAAGCACTAAAAATGAGGGGAATTTAAAAATCATGTTTGTTCAAGGGATGGGGGAAAGGAAAGGAACAGAAGACGGAGGCAGGGGAAGAAATTTATAGCAAAAAGGTTACCTCGGCTATTTCTCCACTCTGGGGGTCATCCTAGAAACGTCCCTCCTCCAGACGTGGGGGTGGTGCCAGTTGCCAATAATCCTCTCTTCCCGGAAAAAAAAAAAAAAAGCGGTTAGCAAATGTCAAGATAAAAAAGAAAATCAGCTGAACAAGGGAACAGCTAGGATGGGCTGCTCGATGGGCGCCAGCCACGGGAGCCCCAGGTGCAATCAACAGCTCTTTAAGACTGCAGGGCATCATTTCTCTGCTTTGAAAAACCCAGCCATCTCTTGGAGAGTCAGATCGATTAGAGGCCACCTTTTGTGAAAGTGATGCTATCATTGTGGTTGTAATTTATGCAAAGACATTCTGTGGCACACGATGATTAAATTATAGTATAGAAGGCAGGATTTCCATAGCGTGTTCCCCCCTCTGGATTTTGCACTTTTATCTACATTCGAATCAGGTCTGTGAAAATTTGGTGCACATGCTTTTCAATCTGTGTGACAGAACATTTCCACATGTTTCTGTGTATTTTTGAAGTGGAGAGAACGGTACCGCCACTTGGAGATCCAACTGAGCCTACGAGGCAAAGGCAATGCGATTCTTTTATAAAAAGAAAGAAAAGCAGACAGAAAGGGTTATTTCCTGAGACCTTTTAGGGGTGAAGCTGTGCAGGTAAAATAAAATCACAAAATAAATAAATAAAATGAATGGAAAAAATGAAAGCCTTGTGGCTTAGCTCCCTGAACGTTAGAGAGATCACCATACAGGGTTACATGTGCAGAAAGGAGACCCAAGGTTAAGATTTGCTTCTTACCTAGACAGCACCTCAGCCTCCTGCCTTGTGGCCGTGACTAGAAAGGAGCTTCCCCTGTCTCCACGTCAGCCACCATTTTAGTGTGGTCTCTGGATACGGTAAGATGGAGGCAGACACGGAGAAAGCCCGAGGGGCTCCCTCTGCTCGCTCGGCTGTGCCCCGCAGCCCCAGCGCGTCTCCCTAGGGGATGCGTTATTCACCATCCCCCTTCAGCTGAGTCAGGAGCTGCTGAGACAGGACAGCGCCGAGGCGAAAACGCAGACGATGACAAAGCCTGTGCTTTACCGACGGTCCCGGGGTATGGCAGGGAAAGGCAGCCCCCCTCCAAGGCATTGCAATGTGGGCTTTTAATGGGCTATGTGCTATCTGGAAATATTTAAGATGCAGCCACTATCCGTGTGGGGTTGATTCCTTCCTGGGCTAGCTGCCTTTTCCTCTCTCTCTCCAAATATATAGCCCTCATGACAAATCTGACACAGGGATCACAGGATGCTGCCGGCAGCTGGTGCAGGGTGGGGGGCTCTTGCAGGGACGGACAGGAGCCCGTGTGGCAGGGTGGCTTCTCCCTCCACCCCCTTCAGCCTGTCCAGCACCCTCCGTGCCTGCCCGCTGGATCCTTAACAAAGAAGAAACCTGCCTCCTTCAGCGCCTGAAGTCGGGGGAGGTGGAGGTTGAGCTGGGAAGAAATGGGGAGCAGGGTCCGGGCTCTTTCAGACCTTCCTGGAAGACCCAGGGAAAGAAGAGCCCCAGAGAGATTCGTGGGCACAGCAGGGCCCTGGGCTGCGCCTCCTGTCCATCATGTCAGGAGGAGGAGAAGGAGAGCACCAGGCGCGCGCATGGGTGTGTGTGTGTGTGTGGTGTGTGTGTGTGTGTGTTTAAAGAATGTTAATTCATACTGAGATCCTAGGGAATATTTCCCTAACTAGAACAGGCTTGGGAATAAATAACGTGCTTACATAGCTGGATCTCCCCTCCCCTTCCTTTCTCCCACTCACTAACACACACGTGTGCGCACACAGACACACCCACACACGTGCACACACGTTGGTAGTTACTAAAGCTAGCCTATGGGGCAAGGAAAAGCTGACCCTGAGAAATGCAATTTTCAATTCCCGCTGAAGCGCGCGCAAGGAGGCTGTGCCCAGCACTCCAGGAGGACCCCACACCTTAGGTGGGCCACAGACAGGCACATCCCATACGTGGACTCGGGCGAGGTGCCCTAATGCGGCAGCTGAGGAGCACTAGAGGGACCCAGGTGGAGCCATTTCCACCGGCCTGGAGTGTGCACTGCAGGTCTCCAGCCTTGGTGAGGATCACGGGTGTGCTGAGGTTTCCCATCCACCCGCGCCTCTGTCTACACACACAGAGTGCCTGGGAGCTGAGAAGCGTGTTTATTCTCCTCCTTTCCTCCCTCATAAATGACTGCTACCAGCACTTGGAGGAGAAGCTCAAGCTGGGCCTGAGTGAATAGAAGCCGAGCGGGCAGGCAGGGCTCGCTGGCAAAGTCCAAGCCACCACCGCGTGTGTAAGTGATTTCCATGCTCTCATTCCTTAACCCTTTTTGAGATGATCCTTCTCTTCCCGAGTGCGCTTAGGGAAGGCAGGTACAATCATCTGCTTTCCTGTCTCTTTCCTTGATCTGGCTCTATCAGAGAAAGAAAGAACTCTTAGGACACATCCAAGAGAAAAGACACCTGATCAAATTATTTCAGTGAAAGAAATCCAGTTATAAGATATAAATACATGCATTCAAATTATAATATAAACATGAACGTGTCTGTGTGGGTGTGCATCTGTAGAAAATACAAGACGAACACATATCAACACGGAAGCAGTAATACCTCTTGGTAGTGTGATAATTATATTTGATTTTTCATACTTTTTAATTTTTTCTCAAGCAAGATACAATGAGTTATTGCTTCTACAATCAGAAAACAATTAGCTTAAAGAAACAGACTATCTGAACAGTTACCATAAACATTAGCAAAGACACTGTTTAAAGTTCCGCTCAAGTACCCCAGTGTTCTTAGCAGGCTTTCTATCTTCTCATTGTATTTACTCCAGTTTTTATTTTAACTCAACCCAGTGTCTCTTCTGGGCTGTCAAGATACCTGTGTTATAAACTGCTAGCGATTCTCAGTGACTGCACTTTACTTATGTCTTATTATGTAGGAATAGATGACGCCAATATTTGGCTGGGCATGTGGTCATCAGAGAATGCAACGCTTTCCAGCACCTTTGCAATGGGTGTGGCTTAGTGACTAAGTCCCAGCCCATCAAATATGAGCAGAGGAGATGTGTGCAACTTTAGAGTTATCGGAAGGGGCAGGTCACCCAGACCTTTCCTTCTTCTCTTCTTTATGTCTGAAATCCAGCCAAAGCAGAAAACCATTAATAAAATGGCTACACTGCAACTCCATAGGTACCTGCAGGCAGACTTGACTGAGGCTGGATGGGGAGGGGCTGCCACCCAGGACCATTCTCTCCCCAAGTTTGGCATCCAGGGGACAACTTGGGTCTCTTTGTCAACTACTTCTGGGCCTTGGGGCCAGATGGACAAACCAAGTCTCCTACAAACTCCAAGGGGCTCCTCTCTGTAATACTTTTTGAGTTTCTTGAAATTGCCCAACAATTCCCTAGCTATTAGATTACTACTTAGGAATCTTCATTTTTGGTTCTGTGTGCCATAACATACCCAATTCTCTTTCCCCATTACTATCCTCCCCAAAACAACCACTGCCAGTCCCTTTATAAATTGTGAGAAGAGGGTGAATGTTCCACTTTCCAAAGCTCTCGGAGCTTGTCTCTGAAATGCTTTCCTATCAGATGTCGGTATTTATCTCAGCCTGGAATCTTCTTCCCAAACCACCCTCCTGGGTGTGCCCTGGGCCAATGCAATGATTCAGGTTACAAGGTCTGCAATAAGCTTCTGGTAACAGGACATTGTTCTGCAGTAACTGGCTATCTGGAACCTGTTAAAGGGCACCCATGCTCGTTTCTCTGGAAGATTCCAGAGCTCTTCACTACCACCATGGGTCCCCACCCAAGACTGGAAAAGCCAAGTGAAATCTCCTATCTGAACTTCTTGCTTTTGCTCTTGATGAAGAGCCATCCTTTTTTCCTCCTCCTCTCCCTTCCACGTCACCACTGGTTAGGAATATTGACAAGGAGTTCAAATCCAGTTGTGCAAAACTTTGGGTTGAGGATGTCCCAGCTTTGCCCTGGCCACACCCATTCTAGGGAGACGAAGCCGTGCCTCCAGCTTCACATGTCCCTGCCCAGAGCCTCCACATCCATGTCACGTTTCTGCCCTCAGAACAAGGCAGAAATACCACCCCTCCCAGAGGGGTTTAGTAGGTGGCTTGCACCATCTGTCATCATCAACATGATCCAAAACCTGTTTTAAATTATTAAAAGTTTCTCTGAGTCATGGTCATCAAAGATTCTCTTTGAGTACACAAACGTCCTAAATGTGGGGCCCTGTGAAGCACCGTCATGTGACACTTTCTGTGGCCTTAGATACTGACCATTGATGCAACTTCCCAGTAGGATGTCTCAGTTAAGGCTCAAATCTCTATCCTCAGCCCAGGCCTCTCAGTTGAAAACGCCTTGGATTTGGGTGAATTAGTTATTTCCACAAAGTCTGTGGCTTCCACTCCTGTGCCCACTATGAATCCCATGCCTTGGGTGACAAGTCCTCATTCCTTGTCTCCAGGCATTCTGGCAACATGCACCCCAGTGCCATTCATCTCCACTTTGGATGAAAGCTGTAGTTTCTTAGAAATTCACATGTGGAAATGAGGCCTCAGCATCAGCTTCCACATCCTTCCTTCTTCAGGAAAATTCATCTTATGGGCAAATTGAAAATAACTTCAGAATCCACCAGAAGAATTATGCTTGGCCATGGTTCCTCCCAATTGAATAAAATCAGATCCTAACTTATCTGCAACCTCCTAGCTGCACATTTATCTCACTCATGTTTTCAGCCATTCCTCCTGGACTTTAACACAATTCCCAAAGTTTCCGTAGAGTCCAAATACCAAAGAAAAGTTCTCTGCTCTTCAGCTCCAACTGTGCCCACAGAGGTACTCTCTGTCCCTTTTAGATAAGCAGACTGAGCTGAGTTGGGACACAGGGACGCATCATCACCATAATCACTGTCCCCAAAGCTGTGACATTCAGTGTCCAGGGTCCTCACATTTTTCACGACCTCTGTGTACATGGGGCCGTCTTGTCCCAGGGACTTGGGGTACAACAACCACAACACCATCAACAACAAGAACATC